CCAGACGAATACGTTCAGAAACGGAGGTCCTGCGTGCTCTTGCCATTGCTCCAGCATTTGAATTTGGATTAGGCAAACTGACGATCTAGACAATGCCGGGATCTGTAAAACCTCAAACTACCTACCTTACGACGTAATAGCCAACGACTAGCCTGCAGAATGGAATGCGGTCACTATCATGGCATCAAGGCAAGTCAAGCTCAATCCTTGGCCGGATAGTGCTCGTGTCTACGTACTTGAGAATTCCAGGCCTTCGCACAAATTGAAGCTGCATCGTTTTGGAGATAATGGTTATACAAACAAAAAAAGACAGATACAACAAGGCACAAGGCAAATGATAGGGAACTTCAACGGAAGACACATAGTTAGAGGTAAACCTTTCTCATTGGCGAAGTGGTATCTTGGTTTATCGATCCGAGTCAAAGCAAAATCCCGCTCCCTGACTCCAAGTGGCTAGCCATGCAAGAGACACCACCCAAAAAACTCGGCAACTTTTCAATCACATCACACTAAACCCTCTCGTGATGTCAACAGCTATCTCCGTCTGCTACGAGAGGTGGTCGGCGCCGGCTCGAATGCATCCTCGTCCGAAATCTCATCATCGCTGATCTCGACAGCGGCTTGCGAGGCGGTAGCCTGCGAGAAGTTAAGCTTGGTCTGCCGGGTTGTCTTCGGGGCCGCGCGTGCAGGCTGAGATCGTTTGCCCCGAGTAGGCGGCGGTGGCGGCGGCTCCTCAAAGTCGTCGTCCATCACCACGTCCTCTTCCTCGGATTCTTCCTCAAAGACGGGCTTCTTGCGACCTCGTGCAGGCGGCTTCTTGGCTGGAGCTTTCTTCGCCGGAGCTTTCTTTGCTGGGGCAGCCTTGGTAGCTCGAGTGGCCGCTGCTTTCTTCGCAGGTGCTTGGCGGGCCGGGGGCTCGTCCTCGTCCATCAAATCATCCTCGTCATCCTGGGTAGCGGTCCCTCGTGGTTTGAATGTAGGCTGAGCGACAGCCTCGGTCTCAACCACTCCAGGCTGATCCTCCCAGTGTCCATCAAGGTCGGAATCCCACTCATCCGGCTTCGGTTTAATAGTGCGCCTGGAAGTCTTCTTCAAGGCTCCCTTGGAGAAAGCTTCTTCAAGCTTTGCCCGATACGCCTCCATCGCAACGTTGAGATCATCCTCATCAGAGTCAAGGTTGAGCATTTGCTTCACCTGGCCTGCCAATGATTCGCTAACAAACTCCTCCATCGCGTGCTTGTCGTCCTTGTTGACGAACTGGTTGACGGCATCGCCGAAGGGTGCAGTTGGCAGGATCTTCAGAGACTGGGCTGCGAGGAACTCCTGTACAAGGGCCTCCACTTTGATGGTGTCCAGACCTAGTGTTTCCTCGAGAGCCTCGGGAATGTCCGTGTCGGTATTTCGTCCTGAGTAGCATGAGATTAGTGGATCAAATTATCAGAGTAAGGAACAGCTTACTTGTCGCACCAGCCTTCTTGCGGTGAAAGTATACGACATCATTGGTGTTTGCCACCTTGCCGATGAACCTGTTTGAAAACCGCTGGGGATTCTCGCAATCGTACTGGCCACCCTCTGGAGCCGTGTACTCCACTTTGAGCCGGATCAAGGGTAGTGGAGGTTCTTCCTCATCGTTCTCCTGGACAGCGAACCACTCCTCATTCGCCTCTTGAATCATCTCGTCGACGACCACCATTAATCTCTTGGTCAACTCCTGTCTGTTTTCTTTCTTCGTGTGCAGCCCCTTAAACCGCGCATCGGTCGATAATTGAATCTCCTTCGTAATGAATGGGCGTACTGTCTTCAATGGCAATTTCTCGACCTTGAACTCTCTGCCTGTAACATTCAAAATCGCCACATGCTTTGGCACCGCCTCGCCCGGAACCAGGGATGTCGCTACCGAGGAGCCGGGTTGCATGACGTGGAAGCCAGTTTCCGGGTTCTGCTGAGGTTCAATCAAGCACTCGTGCTCATGACCCCAGACGACAAGGTCCATCCAGTCGGGTAGCACATTTTCGGGCAGATATGATGTTGCGGTATGTGCGTGGTGGTTTTGATGTACTGTGAGTAGGTTGAACCAGTCTGACTGCTGGACACCCGGGCGGAACCACTTGACCTTGTGGTCCCTGAATGTTCGAAACATGCGCTCGTCACGAACATTGCTCAAGCCGAACAGCGCAAGCTTGGTCTGACCCTTTTGTAGTAATACCGGCTTGGCCTCAATGTTGTCGGCCTCGGCAATGCGACCAAAGTAGTTGACCAGCCCAGCAATCTGGAGCAGGTCCAGTGAGCAGAAGTGGCCCTCGCCGCTGGGATCGTCGTGGTTTCCGTGGATCGAAAAGACGGGTATAGAGATATTGATGTCGGGGTCTTCGTAGTTGACGTGAGGGAACGCACCCTCAAAGACTTCGTTCGCATCGCTTAGGAACTCGAGCTCGCAGGGCTTCATGCCTAAGCAGTTCTTGCGAAGACTGCGCATAACCTGGTACATGGACTTTCGGGATGGCTTATTATCGTGGAAGAGGTCGCCGCCTAACAGCACCATGTCGACCTATGCTCCTTGTCAGCCGGCGAAGCACCACTCTGGGGCGAGGTACCTCCGTACATCTTGGCTCTTGGCCAGGTTCAGAATCTCGTCGAACGTTTTCCAGCTATCGTCCTTGCGAATCGGGTCTCGCTCCTCGTAGCCGACATGATTATCTGTCGCAACCAGAATGCGGATAGTGTCCGCTTCTATACGGGGGTTAGAGCTCTCGGGCGGTACGTAGTCTGGGGGAAGAAGGATGGATTACCTGTAAGGTCGGGCATGATGTCGAGCGGACCAATGGGTCAGTCCCAGGCCGACGATGAGCACTGGTGAGACTGGCCGATCGGGCGGAGAGTCTACTGTAGTATCGAGTAAAGTACTAAGGCAGCTGCTTGAACTGGAGGGGAGGAATTCAATGGTGGGTGCCCGCCGTTGGCGTTGGGGTTTAAGTGGCCGTCGCGCGGCGCGCCTCTCCAACAGGCAGCGACGCGAAATCCCCAGCGCCACAGCTGCGCACTCACGTGGTGGAGGGGTCCTCCCGGGTGGCCTGTGCTTCTGTGGCTAACTTCCGCTGTTCACCGAGATACACTTCGTCTGCCGAGCCCTCACCTCGATACTCCGTACACCTTGGCCGGCGATGGTGGTGAGGTGAGCCGGGCCGGAAATTAAGCTTATTCCGAGGGTTTTCTGCCCCTGGCCCGTTCCTGCTCTTCATCCAGTCTTTTCTGTCCACGACTGCGGCCACTCCCGCGATGCCAACCTTAACCGTCGTTCTCTTCAGTCTGAAAAGACTCCCGATGCCTGGACACATTGGACTGGGCATCTTTACTCCTGTTTCTGGTCCCAACGCTGTCTGAAAAGTTCTCTGGCTCTACCTGGGCTTTTGAGTGGCAGAGGAACAGGCAAAGTCGGCTGGCTCGAGGGCAATGCGCACAAGGTCGCCTCTCGATCTCTGTCTGAAGATGTGCAGCGCCTCAAATGGTTGTTCATACGTAGTCCAAGTGGACTTCATGCCATAGCTGAGTGTATTCAGGAATTTCGAGTCGTTGAGTGACAACCCTGTGAACGGCTAGCCAGCTTTCGGCGAGTCAAGATATGCACCCCTCGTGTGATCGGTCCCTCGTATCGAAAGCTTGAAGCTCTGGGATGCCGTCTGCGGCGGACTCCTCCGTCATCATTACTCGAAAGCTCGGGGGCGGCGAGGCCATGGCGCTGGGCCGTTGGCAAGGAGGTGATGGGCCACAGGCGAAGCTCTGCCGATCAATCCATTTTCTACTACCGGTATTTCAGTTGCCCGTCCTGGCCATGCTTGCCAATAGTGCATTGATTTGGCAAAGCCAAGACTGTCTTGTCTGTGCAACCCTACACCGATGCCCCGTTTCTTGTCAAAAGTCCCTCGACGAAAACAGAAGGTTGATCTGACTGACATACCTCTTTGGCTTTGCTGTCTGCAAGGCAGATCGTCGTGGTGGATGCCTATCAAGAACCCCATTTGCCCAAGGCGACCAAAGACAACTTCTCATGGTCGACGTATAGGTAGTCCGCCACGACAACCACCCAAAACTCTAAGAGCACTTTGTTGAGCAAAGTGTCTCAATTGAGTCAACTTCTACAGACGCGAACAAGTACTTGATTAAGCCCGAATAGGGAGGTTGAACGGTACTGCCCTGGTTGGATGATTGGCCGTCTTGGCGAGAGCTTGGCATGCACGTTAAACGGAGCGTTTAATGTCGCGATACCACCGCACCCCGCTAGCGCCGGCTTTCAAAGCTTACTCGCCCTTCCAACTTCATCTCCCAAGGGAGTCAAGGACCGTCCGGTCTCGCTGGGCAATCGACGTGCCGAGATCATCGGATGTCTTATCGGCCCTGGATGGTTGTAACTTGTGCGGGTGCTCATTCGTGTTCCAGCGCTTCTCGGTCTCTTCCGACTCATGCAACTCGTGCATCCAACACTATCCAACCAGGACCCGAGGAAGCATCAGGCATCGCCTCAAATCCTCAGCTCAGCTCCATATGGCCTTTGGCATGCCAAGATCGTCGTATTTCAGAGTCCACGAATCAGAACCACAAGTCTTTCCCCAGGTGGTTCAATCCCGATGCCCACGCCGTGCCCGGCCCTGTTGAGTGGCCGATTGCCCATATTGAAGTCCTCAGTTCAACCTCAAAGAGGAAGGCATTCTAGCTTACCCCATGGTCTTCATTCCCGCGCATCCAGTTTTCTTGATTTCAGAACTTGTCTGAGTTGTCTTTTGCTCCAAGCCCACTTTGACTGGCAGAGCCAAAGCTTACCTTGAACTGATCCGGAAGGTCGCAAACATCTTAGTCCCCGATTGACTCCCTTGCCCATTACCATGTATCGTAAGAACGAGAAACATCGAGAGACACTCGAGAGGGTGCCCTCGAGTATATATGTAATGCCAATCCTCCACCATCAAGGTCCTTCTTCTCTCTTGCTCTCCATCCCTCTCAGCTCTATCAAGTCCCGGTCCCCTTGTCCAAGCCTCGATCCAATCAGTTCAGCTCTACATCATGCAGTTCAAGCTTTCTGTCGTTGCGGCCCTCGCCGCTGCCGCCTCCGCCGCCGTCACTCCCGCCCGTCTCGGCTGCGGTACTCATGATCCTACCCCTGAGCACATTGAGATCTCCAAGAAGCTTGCTGAGGAGGAGGCTGCCAACAATGGCACCGTGAGCCTCATGGCGGCGGCCACCATCAACGTCAACGTCTACTTCCACGTTGTTGCCTCTTCCCAGACCGTGGCGAACGGCTACATCACCGTCAGTACCAGTGTAAACCCCTTACAATTTTTACTGTCGATCTCTAACAGCTTCAACAGGACAAGATGCTGGCTGACCAGCTGGCCGTCATGAACAGTGACTTTGCCCCCCACGGCATCAGCTACACCCTGGTTGAGACCACCCGCACCATCAACGCCAACTGGGCCCAGGATGGCGACGAGATGGCCATGAAGCGCGCCCTCCGCAAGGGTACCTACAAGGACCTCAACCTCTACTTCGTCCGCACCCTCGGCGGCGACTTTGGGTACTGCTACTTCCCCACCACTGCCGCTGCTGGCTCCACCGCCTACATCCGCGACGGCTGCACCATTCTCTCCTCCACCGTGCCTGGCGGCAGCGAGACCAACTACAACCTCGGCAAGACCGTCACCCACGAGGTCGGCCACTGGTTCGGTCTCTACCACACCTTCCAGGGCGGCTGCACTGGCGCCGGCGACTCCATCGCCGATACCCCCGCCCAGGCCAGCTTCTCCACCGGATGCCCTACCGGCCGTGACTCCTGCCCTAGCCAGGCTGGTCTCGACCCCATCCACAACTACATGGACTACTCCTACGACTCTTGCTACGAGGAGTTCACTCCTAACCAGCAGACTCGCATGTACAGCTTCTGGAACCAGTACCGCGCATAGAGCGGTTGTATCTCTGGATACGGTTCTGTCATTTTGGCGTGGTGTTACATTGGAAGCGTGGAGTAGGGGGAGCTTGAATAGAGGTTGATGAGATTTGATGAGATCTATGACTGAGAGCGGCTGAGGGCTCTGGAATATGAGCTCTATGTAAACATAATCATCAGGTGTCTTGACTTTAGTATAATACCCTACGAATATTTACTAGATCATAATTCTTCAAAGACACTGTTCTCTTTCATGCCGGCCGATGTCTTTCTCGATTCCCGGTCAAACTTGACGCGCAGTGCGGGGAAACTTACATTAGTTGCCTTTCCGTCCTTACCCACAGTGAAGACAACCTCATCTATAGCAATATTGCCGTATGTAAGCGATCCAGCACCTCCCCAGGTCGATCCGCACTTCTTTCCCAGTATGGGCTCCCGACCCGACGGTGCCGCATCAGGGTTCGAGAATACCGCTCGGAATGCGATTTTCCCCTGGTCTTGAAGTCCCATGAACTGTAGATCCGCACCCTGAAACCCAAGTTTCCTGCCCGACTCTGAGAAGAAGTCCGTGCCGTTGATCACAAGTTTCTGGAGTGTTAGACCGATTCTGCCGGGCACGAGCGTCAACTCGGCACGGGAGTCCGATCCGTCGTCGGCCACATAAATGCCAGCAAGGTCCTCTCCCGCGGCCTCCCGGCCGGCGGCATCGGCGGCGGGTATCCACTTTTCCAGGAGTAACTCGCTGAGGACGTCGAACGTAGAGTCGGCAATGCCATCGCCATAGGCGGTCTTGGAAGCTGTCAGGAGGGTGAAGCCAATGTTGTGGTCGGGTGAGAGGATGAGGTAGGTCAGGTAGGCTCCGATGCCGCCGTTCTTGGTGTATAGATCCACGAGCCGAGTGTGCTTTGAGCCGGGAGCTGCGGCGACGTCCATTCGAGTAATTTCCCACGGGCGCCCGACAGCACTGTGAGTGTGTTGGGTGTGAGTTACCGGTCGGAGCCATTCACGGGTTGCGGCTTTGGGTAGGATAGACGAGGCGAGAATGGAACGGCCAATGGCGGAGAGGTCGCCCAAGGAAGAATAGACGCCGCCGGTCCTGGAAAGACTTGTCAGCTCTAATCATAAAGTAATTAGTGTGAAAGGCAGACTGTTGGCAATTATTCTCACGGGGTATATGAGGCCATTCCCTCATGAAAAGGGTAGCCTATCAACGACTTGAACGCCGATGGGTCGAGATCAACGACGTTAGCATTAGGGTCGTCCTTTGGCGGATCCCAAAAAGTTCGAGACAGCCCCAAAGGCTCTGCAATGCCTTTCTTAAAGGCATCACCTACGGAGCTGCCTGTGATGTTCTCAAACGCCCACCCGATGAGCTGGAACGCCTCATTACTGTACACTGGGGTGTGCCAGGTTGTCGTAGCGGGATACTGCTCCAGCAAGGAATTGAGGACTTCTATATATGACCAGTTTAGCAAGAATCACCCCAAAGAGAAACAAGAAGATGGCCCACCATCTCTGGTACAGGGTCGCATGTCCGGCAGACCGCAGTTCACGATGTCGGAATCGTTCAGGTAAGGGAGCCCCACATACTCGATGCCCGGCATACCAGATAGGTCGACGAAGTGATCTGATCATGATGAGCTGTTAGTGGTCACAGAGATAGACGTGGTGTTTTACTATTGCGTGCGATACCACTCATATGGCTGGCCAAACCTCCCAAAGTCACCTCAGACCATTGCACCCGATGCGCTCGGTGCCCTGCCGGCGCGTCCGCAAGCTCCGGGATGAACTTGGTGATCGGCTCGTTCCAGTATGTAGGGCCCAGCTTGACGAGAATGGTGTATACGGTCAATAGTTTCGTAACGCTTCCAATGCGATACAACGTATCCGAATCCAATGAGCCCCCGGTAACTGTCCCCTTGAGCTCGGTCCCCTGATGATGATACTCGTAGAGAAACTCATCCGAATCTGCAGAGAATACACTGATTGAAAACGAGGCAGTGGCAGTGTTTATCTTGCCCAATTCGGTTTCACCGGTTGAGATCGCATTGTTGATGAGTTTTGTAAATGACTCCCGTTTATCTTTGATTACCTGTGACTTATGAAGGTTTGGAAGAGGATAGGCTGGCCCCAGTAAAGGGCAATTCGTGAGGTCGGCCCTTTGGCTGGTGACCAGTGCATCAATGGCAAGAAGACTAAAAGGCTGGAGAAGTCGCATGATGCCGCCTTTGTTCTGATGCAAAGTTCCAAAGTTGAGAGGAGGGAGTCAGCATCGGATCTCTGAAGGAGAGAGGGC